GTCCATTTTGTTCTTTCTTACATCCGAATGTAATTTAGAATTTAAGGAAAAGTTATGCAATTCTTCTGGTTTCTGATCAAAGAAATTTACAACTTTATTAAATGACTCTTTGGAGACACTAATGTTTTTCCCACTTGCTGTCTGAAAAGATATATCAAAAGTCTCAAAATCTTTTATATTTTCCTCCATTTTAGTAGCAGTTAACTGTTCTTTATTTGAAGTATTACCACGACATGTTTCTTGAGCTTTTACGACTTCCAAAAAAGTTAAATCTGACAAATCTTCTTTAATCTGAGTGTTTCCCTTCTTCATAAACTGGCCAGATAATTTAAGATATATGTTGTGCTGATTAGTAAGTGGCAGGTCATTTTCATCTTCATGAATATAAATACTATCATTTTTACCAGAATTATTGCCATCAAATTCTAAGTTATGAGTATTCCTACTGGCAGCAGTATATTTATCTTCATTTTCAATATTTTTCTTGTAATTTTCAGTAATTTCTTCAACAAAAATGCCGGTAGTCATTTCAATATTATTTTGTAATATTAGTTGGCATTTATTATTTTTCTCATTATGATTTTCTATCTTAAACATTGAAACAACAGAATCATGACATTTACTTGAAGATAAACTTATTGGATCTACTTCTGCAGAAGTTTCCTCACTAATATTCTCAATATCACTAAACAGTTTCACCGCTTTTTGCAGAGCTTCAGTAGAAACATTCAGTTTTATGCCATGAGCAGAATAAAAGCCTCTAAACTCCACTTCATTTTCATCTGTTAAATAACCAGATGCACTTTTGTTACAGTCATTTTTCAACAAGCCAGCAAACTTTTCTTTAATTCCAATGGTACCTTCAAACTGCTTGCTGCTGTCTACCTGACCAATTGATGGCGCATTCGTTATGAGATGAAGATCAGCATCTCTGTATTCTTCAGAAGTGGTACTTAAGATAGTCATCTGGTTTTCAGGTACTTCAAACGTATTATTCTGCAATATGTAGCTTGGTTTTCTAAACTGTGTAAATTCAAACTGACTTCCTGATTCTTCTAATATAGTAGAAAGTTCTGTAATTTCTGCCTTTTGGCTAGGTGTTAAGTTATGGTTTGAATTAAAATCCTCCTTTGAAAATAACATCTGAGGGGTTGTAAGACTATTTTTACAATCAGAAACAACTACACTACTCTGTACATGTGCAGATACAGGCTTAATTGACTGAGGCTTGCTTAGTTTCTTTTGATTATCTAATGCCAAGGTATTTACAATTTCAATACAAGCTAAACTAGTAGGATATTGTTCTTCGATATCTCTGAAGAGCATTTTGCTTTTCTTAATGTTATGTTCAGAGAGCTTGATTTCCTTATTTGAAGCTGTTCTGAAGCTACCCCCAAAACTGTGATTTGAAATTGGATGTAAGAGTCCTGCCCATTTGTCCTTGTAATCATTATTTTTGTTTGGTATTTTATCTATATTCAAGGAGATGCCTGATTTTGAATCTTGACCTAGAGTCATTTCTAGATGCTGCTTCACACTATTTTTTTTCTCCTCTGAAAGATCATAAACTATATTTGATGAGTCTAAATCCTTTTTAATTGACACTTGGGTTGCTTGTTTATCAACTATGTCTGCATATAATACCATGGTAGAGTTCTTGAAAGCGGGTTTGTTTACACAAGTCAAGTCCGCTTCATGAAGTTCCTTAGTATTTTCCAAAGCAAAATTATTCCTTTTACTAGCCACTTGGAAGACAAAATTATTCTCATTGTCTGATAAAAGTTCTTCAGAGTCTGGATTGACATTCATTTTTGAAATTAAAGTAGTTTCTTCTTGATGTTTTTGGATTACTCTTAGATTTGTGTTTTGGTTGAATTGTACATATCTTGAAGGTGATGCGACTATTATGTATTTTTGAGGTGGCAGCAGCTCAATGTTTTTAGAATTTTCATTTAAAGTATGTACATCTTGATTATTTTCCATGGGAATATTTTTGGTTAATTCAAAATCAGCTTCACAATTGTTACATTTGAGCTCGTCTGGAATTCTGTATGATTCTTTGCCTCTAGAAGTCCTGACTAGGTTTGACAGTACATCCTTGGAAGCAGGAGTTAAAATACGAGTGCTGGCATTTTCATGGTCATGAAAAAGACTTTTCTGGGACTGAAAGTCAGTATCACAATATTCCACTTCTGAATGTTGTACCAGGTGACACACTGTGGCCAAGACGTCTTCTTTTATATCAGAAACCTTTTTGCTTTTTGGATAATTTTCACACTCTCCTTCCTGCAGGCATGACAGAGAATCAGCTTCTGGGTTAATAAATAACTGTGGTTTTTCCTTATTACATTTTGCTTTTTTATAACCAAGATCCTGAGAAATTATTATATTATTAGAACATGTTTCATTTCTAGAACATTTCCTCAGAATTGTCCCAGAAGAGCTGGTTAAGGACAAAGTTGGTTCTCCAGAATCAATCTGTGAACAATTTCTTTGGACAGAAGGATGCAATAAACCTAAACATAAAAACACAAAGTGACAAAATTAAAGTAACATCAATCACATCCACTAAATATTTTCATTAAGTTAAAAAGGTAATGTTTGGGCATGGTGGCTCATGCCTGTAATCCCAAAACTTTTGGGAGGCTGGGGCAGAAAGATGGCTTGAGCCCAGGAATTTAAGACCAGCCTAGGCAACGTAGTGAGACTGTGATTCTATGAAAAATAAAAATTAGCTGGGTGTGGTAGTATATGCCTTTGGTGGCAGCTACTCAGGAGGGTTAGGTGCAAGGACTGCTTGAGTCCAGGAGGTTGAGGCTACAGTGAACTGAGATCACACCAGTGTACTACAGACTAGATAACAGAATGAGACACTGTCTCTAAAAATAAAAAATAAAAAGGTAGTGTTCAAAACGTAAATTACATGAAAATAAGTGAATTGTCAGATTTAAAGCAGAAAGAATCCTAAATATTTTTAGGATTTTCTAAAAATCCTCTATTTTTTAGTTATTACATTTTTTAGCTAAAGATAAATTAGACCTAAGTTGTTTTTCTTTTTAATAATAGGTACCAACTCAATTAAAATTAGTATCAATGTCAAGGAAGTAGCTAGCTACCATAAACAAAACTCAAAGTAATTTTTATTGGAAAATAAAATTGAGAAAATTTCATTGCTACTAATAATACTGGTGTATGGCTGGGTGTGGTGGCTCATACCTGTAATCCCAGCACTTTGGGAGGCCAAGGTGGGTGGATCGCAAGGTCAGGAATTCAAAACCAGTCTGGCCAAGATGGTGAAACCACGTCTCTACTAAAAATACAAAAAATTAGCCAGGCATGGTGACAGATGCCTGTAATCCCAGCTAATTGGGAGGCTGAGGCAGAGAACTGCTTAAACCCAGGACATGGAGGTTGCAGTGAGCCGAGATTGCACCACTGCACTCCACCCTGGGCAACAGAGTGAGACTCTGTCTCAAAAACAAAAACAAACAAAAACTGGCGTGAACAGAAAAGGCAGAGAAAAGGAATTAGAAAAGTAACCATTTTCTTAATTCTTTTACATTGAAAAAACCCACAATTTTAAAAACAGGGTCCATATATTAACAGCCTGAAAGATGATCTAATCTCAATGATAAAGGCAAATGAGTTAAACTGTTCTATCAAATTTCTTGACCCTCTGAATTTTCTACTAACAAGTTCTTAATTGCATTTTATTTCATCAGTGATCACATGTATTAGCTTTTTCTTTTTTGAGATGGAGTCTTGCTCTGTCACCCAGGCTGGAGTGTAGTGGCATTATCTAGGCTCACTGAAATCTCCATCTCCCAGATTCAAGTGATTCTCCTGCCTTTGCCTCCAAGTAGCTGGGATTACAGGCACATACCACCACACTTGGCTAATTTTCGTTTTTTTAGCAAAGATGGGGTTTCGCCATATTGGCCAGGCTAGTCTCAAGCTCTTGACCATAAGTGATCCACCTGCCTCGGCCTCCCAGAGTGCTGGGATTACAGGCATGAGCCTATATTAGCTTTTTCATTGGGTATAACTATGATATATGTAGTATCAAATATTTGTCTCTAAAAATTTAATTCAAACTTCAAACAGTTCTGTACTCTGGTCCCTCCAACTCTAACATTCACTGACCTATTCACTAAAATCTTCTCATAGGGAGATAAAAATCACTTTATAAACACATAGTTTAGTTGCTGATAAGTGAATTGTTGCAACAACAAAGACAGAGGACAGAATTACCCATGTGGAGATGCAGAAATAGAGCAATAACAGTATACAATAGCTAAAATCTTTAAGAAAATTATGTAACAACAACAACAAATCATTATTTTAGAACTGGCCTATGTTAAATGTAGAAATATTTAATATTTAATATTTCCTCTATGTAATTTTTTTTTTTTTTTTTTTTTTTTTAACAAGGTCTCATCTTGTGGCCCAGATTGGAGTGCACTGGTACAATTTTGATTCATTGAAGCCTCAGCCGCTTGGGCTCAAGTGGTCCTCCTGTCTGAGCAACCTGAACAGCTATGACATAGCTTGTATAGATTGGGTCTCACTATGTTGCCCAGTATGTTCTTAAACTCCCAACCACAAGTGATCCTCCTACCTTAGCCTCCCAAACTCCTAGATTACAGGCACAAGCCACTATACCTAGTTGTTTTTTTTTTTTTAACATGCTTTAGAGAAAATACATAATAAATAGCACAACATTTTTAGAATCATCAAATTTGCATATAATAAATACTTTTAAAATTAAAGCAGGAATTAGGTAGCCAAGCACTGAATGTTTATGAATCAAAAACTGACTCAAGTTATTTGTGGGAACATAAATTAGTTCAACCAATGTGGAAGATAGTGTGACAATTTCTCAAAGACCCAGAATCAGAAATATCATTTGACTCAGCAATTCCATTACTGAGTATATAACCAAAGAAACAGAAATCATTCTATTATAAAGATCATGTATCTTTTTTTTTTTTTTAATTCAGTCTCTGTAGAGACTGTCAAAAATTGCCAGTGCCGACTATATGGTAGGTCATCACAGTGGGGTATTGGGAAAAGTATTCAATTAGCAATAATTGCGCCTCGGATAAACCTCATTGGATACAATACCGCCACTGCACAAAGCTAAGATCATGTATCTTTATGCATATATTCACTGCAGCACTATTCCCAATAGCACAGAAATGGACTCAACCCAAATGCCCATCATTGATAGACTGGATAAAGAAAATGTGGTATGTATACATCATGGATTATGCAGCCATAAAAGAACAAGATCATGTCCTTCGCAGGGACATGGATAGAGCTGGAAGCCATTATCCTAAACAAACGAATGCAGGAAAAGAAAACCAAACATCACATCAATGTTCTCATTCATAAGTGGGAGCTGAACGAGAACACATGGACACAGGGAGGGGAACAACACACACTGGGTCTGTCAGGAGTTGGGGGTATGTCGGGGGAAGGAGCATCAGGAAAAATAGCCAATGACTGCTGGGCTTAACACTCAGGTGACGGGTTGATAGGTACAGCAACCACCATGGCACACATTTACCTATGTAACAAAAGTACACATCCTGCACATGTACCCTGGAACTAAAAGTAAGATAAAACTGTCTTGGGGGGAGATCCAAGATGGACGAATAGGAACAGCTCTGGAGTGCAGTTTCCAAGGAGAACAACACAGAGGGTGAGTGACCACCGCATTTCCAAATGAGTTTTTACTGCCCACAAACCAGGGGATTCCTAGGCTGAAAAGTGCCACAAGTTTCCAGCATGGCTGTTTCAGCCAGCACCACGCGTCTCTGCACAAAAAGTCACACAAATCTGGGCGGCTATTTCAACTGGCGTCTGGAACGCCTGGGAGACAGAGTCGCCCATTCAACTGAAAAAAAGGGGTCTGAAACAGGGAGTCAGGTGATCTGGCTCAGTGGGTCCCACTCCAACGAAGACCAGCAATCTGAAACGTTCTGGGTTGAGAGTTTTGCAGCAAGCACAGCAGGACCCAGGACGGTCCAGGTCAGTGCGGGGAAGGATGTCAGCCCTTACCGAGGCAGTCACCACTGAGGCAGTCCACCACTACCGAGGCAGTCCACCATTACTGAGGCAGACTGCCATTACCAGTGCAGTTCTAACTGTACCTCTGTAAACAAAACCACAAGGAAGTTACACAGCAGCTAGGCAGAGCCCAAAACAGCTCAGCAATGTCTCTGCCGGCAGACTGACTAGGCTACCTCCTTGCTGAGCAAGGCATCTCTGAAAAAAGGCAGCAGCACGTCAGGAACTAATAAAGCCCCACCTTCGCAGGACAGAGCACCTGGGAAAAACGACAGTTATGAGTTCCGCTGCAGCAGACTTAAACATACCTGCCCAGCAGCTCCGAACAGAACATGGAGCTCTCAGCTCAGCACCTGAGCTCCTATAAGGGACACACTGTCTCCTCAAACAGCTCCACGACACCCATATGTTCAAAGAGACACCTCATAAAGGAGAGCTCAGGCTGACATCTGGCAGGTATCCTTCTGGGACAAAGATAATAGAAGAAGAAATGGGCAGCAACTCTTAACTGTTCTGCAGCCACCACAGGTGATCCCCAGGCAAGCAGGGTCTGGAGTAGACTTCTAGCAGTCCTGCAACAGAGGGGCCTTTTAGTTAGAAGGAAAACTAAAAAACAGAAAGAAATAACTTCAACATCAACAAAAACGACATCCACTCAGAGGCTGCATCCAAAAGTCACCAACTACAAAGACCACAGGTAGATAAATACACAAAGACGGGAAGAAACCAGTGCAAAAAGGATGAAAACACCCAAAACCAGAACACCTCTCCTCCTACAAAGGATCACAACTCCTCACCAGCAAGGGAACAAGGCTGGATGGAGAATGAGACTGATTAATTGACAAAAATAGGCTTCAGAAGGTGGGTAATAACAAACTTCTCTGAACTAAAAGAACATGTTCTAACCCAATGCAAAGAAACTAAGAAACTTGAAAAAAGGTTTGATGAAATGCTAACAAGAATAAACAGCTTAGAGAAGAATATAAATGACTTGATGGAGCTCATAAACACAACACAAGAACTTCCTGAAGTATACGCAAGTGTCAAAAGCTGAATCGACCAAGCAGAAGAAAGGATATCAAGGATTGAAAATCAACTCAATGAAATAAAACGAGAAGGCAAGATTAGAGAAAAAAAAAGAGGAAAAGAAATGAACAAAGCCTCCAAGAAATACGGGATTATATGAAAAGACCTAATCTATGTTTGATAGGTGTACCTAATTGTGACAGAGAGAAATGAATCCAAGCTGGAAAACACTCTTCAGGGTATTATCCAGGAGAACTTCCCCAACCTAGCAAGGCAGGCCAATATTCAAGGCCAGGAAATACAGAGAACACCACAAAGATATTCCTCAAGAAGAACAACCCCAAGGCACATAATCATCAGATTCACCAGGTTGAAATGAAGGAAAAAATGATAAGAGCTGCCAGAGAGAAAGTTCGGGTTACCCACAAAGAGAAGTCCATCAGACTCACAGCAGATCTCTGGAAAGAAACCCTACAAGCCAGAAGAGAGTGGAGGCCAATATTCAGCATCCTTAAAGAAAAGAACTTTCAACCTAGAAGTTCATATCCAGCCAAACTAAGATTCATAAGCGAAGGAGAAAAAAATCCTTTATAAACAAGCAACTGCTGAGAGATTTCATCACCACCAGGCCAGCCTTACAAGAGCTCCTAAAAGAAGAACTAAATATAGAAAGGAACAACCAATACCAGCCACTCCAAAAACGTAACAAATGGTAAACAGCATTGACAGAATGAAGAAACTGCAACAACTAATGGGCAAAACAACCAGCTAGCATCAAAATGGCTGGATAAAATTCACCCATAACAATATTAACCTTAAAGTTAAATGGACTAAATGCCCCAAACAAAAGACACAGACTAGCAAATTAGATAAAAAGTCAAAACTCATCTGTGTGTTGTTTCCAGGAAACCCATCTCACATGCAAGGATACATGTAGGCTCAAAATAAAGGGATGGAGGAAGATTTAACAAGCAAATGGACAGCAAAAAAAAGCAGGAGTTGTAATCCTAGCCTCTGATAAAATGGACTTTAAACCAACAAAAATCAAAAGAAACAAAGAAGGGCATTTCATAAGGGTAAAAAGATCAATGTAACAAGAAGTTAACCATCCTAAATATATACGCCCCCAATACAGAAGCACCCACATACAAAAAGCAAGTTCTTAATGACCTACAAAGAGACTTAAACTCCCACATAATAATAGTGGGAGACTTTAACATTCCACTGTCAATATTAGATCAACGAGACAGAAAATTAACAAGGATATCCAGGTCTTGAACTCAGATCTGGACCAAGCAAACCTAATAGACATTTACAGAATTCTCCACCCTAATCCACAGAATATACATTCTTCTCAGCACCACATCACACCTACTCTAAAATTGACTACATAACTGGAAGTAAATCACACTTCAACAAATGCAAAAGAATGGAAATCATAACAGTCTCTCAGACCACAGTGCTATCAAATTAGGACTCAGGATTAGGAAACTAACTCAGAACCACAAAACTTCATGGAAACTTGAACAAATGGCTCTTGAATGCTGACTGGATAAACAAAGAAATGAAGGCAGAAATAAAGATGTTCTTTGAAACCAATGAGAATGAAGACACAACGTTCCAGAATCTCTGGGACACATTTAAAGCAGTGTCTAGAGGAAAATTTATAGCAATAAATGCCCACAAGAGAAGCAAGGAAACCTCTAAAATCAACACCTTATCAAAATTGGAAGAGCCAGAGGAGCAAGTTAAAAAAAACTCAGAAGCTAGCAGAAGACAAGAAATAACTAAGATCAGAGAAGAACTGAAGGAAAGAGAGATACAAAGAATCCAGGAGCTGTTTTTTTTTCTTAAAAGATCAACAAAATAGACAGACTGCTAGCCATATTAATAAAAAATGAAGTATCAAATAGATGCAGTAAGAAACGATAAAGGGGATATCACCTCAGATTCCACAGATATACAGACTACCATCAGAGATTACTCCAAACTCTATGCCAGGTGCCCCCAAACTAAGGTCCACAGGCCGCATGCAGCCCCCTGAGGCCATTTATCCGCCCCCCCGCTGCACTTCAGGAAGGGGCACCTCTTTCATTGGTGGTCAGTGAGAGGAGCACAGTATGTGGCAGCCCTCCAACGGTCTGAGGTACAGTGAACTGGCCCCCTGTGTAAAAAGTTTGGGGACGCCTGCTCTATGCACATAAACCAGTAAACCTGGAAGAAATGGATAAATTCCTGGACACTTGCACCCTCCCAAGCCTAAACCAGGAAGAAGTCAAAACCCTGCATAGACCAATAACAAGTGCTCAAGTGGAGACAGCAATTAATAGCCTATAAAGGCAGGCCCAGGTCCAGATGGGTTCACAGCTGCATTCTACCAGACGTACAAAGAGGAGCCTCTGAAACCACTCCTTCTGAAACTATTCCAAACAATACAAAAAGAAGGAATCCTTCCCAAATCATGTTATGAGACCAACATCATCCTGATACCAAAATCCAGCAAAGACTCGACAAAAAAAGAAAACTTCAGGCCAATATCCATGATGAACATAGATGCAAAAATCTTCAATAAAATACGGGCAAACTGATTGGAACAGCACATCAAAAAGCTTATCCATCAAGATCAAGTAGGCTTCATCTGGGGATGCAAGGCTGGTTCAACATATGCAGGTCTATAAACGTAATCCACCACATAAACAGAACCAAAGTGAAAAACCACATGATTATCTCAATAAATGCAGAGAAGGTGTTTGAGAAAATTCAACAGCCTTTGTTGGTAAAAACTCTCAATAAACAATGGAACATACGTCAATATCAATGGAACATATGTCAAACTAATAGAAGCTATTTACGACAAACCCACAGCCAGTATCATACTGAGTGGGCAAAAACTGGAAGTATTCCCTTTGAAATCTGGCACTATTCCTCTCTCACCACTCCTATTCAATATAGTATTGGAAGTTCTAGCCAGAGAAATCAGGCAAGATAAAGAAATAAAGGGTATTCAGTTAGGAAAGGAGGAAGTCAATTGTCTCTATTTGCA